CAATTACTTGAAAGATAAGAAAAAATAAGTTTCTTCATTAAACAACCAAAGATGATAAGTATTTTATCGAAGATTCATAAGCTAGAGATTTATTGATTTAAAGCAATCAAACATGCAAAATCAAAAATCAAATATTAAATAATAAGAAGTCAGTCAGATGCAACGTAGAACTTCGTTCGTAAGTACATCAGTTCATGTCGCCATACCACATCAGCACACACAGATGTAATTGTCAATTCAAATCCAATAGTAGAAGAAGTAGTAAAGGTATTAGGAGTAGTCGGAGAGGTTAGGGTTAGAAGATATTTTATTCAAGAAGTATGATTCAGTGAGAAAAAATTAGAAAGACAAAACTAGATGGGTTGAAGAATCCAGAAGATTAGGAGTTGAGAGAACACAAAGAATAAATGCACCGGCGCCAGTGCGAACGATTTTGAGCCAAGTCATTCAAGGTCTCTAACCATCGATTATCATCATCTCGCGGACCCCAACACACTTGTCAATGACTTCATGTATTTCTGCCATGTTTTGGTTTGGCCGTCCCTAACTTTCTTCCAACCTACTCCTCCTACACTACAAAACAAAGCTCGACGAGGCAGTCGGTGGTTAGGCATACGCAACACATGTCCCAACCACCTCAACTGGTGAAGTGTCACTACTTCATCAATTGATCTTCCATTATTACCTAGCACCCGATTTCGTAATAACCGCGTTGCTCAGTCGGGTACATAATGAGAAAGAAGAAATTTTCTAATAGTAGAGTTAATCAATATGCATACTGAATAAATCGATTTCGCTTTTACCGAAATGTTACACTATGGTCAATCCATCAATGTTAAACAACAATGTGGAATCATTGAAATCATGAATCACTCCTTGTTAGAGCACTATTATAGAAACCTGGAATCAATGGAGAGCGGTCTCGTTCTAGTATGATACTCTTCAGCAGTGTGCATCCATGACCTCAGCTGCAAGGATCGAACTCAGAACCTTCGGTCTTGTGCGCACAAACACTTAACCTCCAGAAGATCACTGAGCTGGCATCCGAAACAACAATCTCCTTTACTCTATGATGAATCTTTATATTTTTATTGGTTTATTAAGAGATTTTGCTAGCAACTTGTCACTAACCATGTAACATCTAATGACAATATCTTTGTGCACATATATGCTTTCCTAGAAGGTTAGCAAACACTTAAATAAGTATCAGTTCACTTTTATAGGCGCCAGTTCCGTTCAACAACGTCTAAAACCATCGTATGGAAGACTTGATTGTGGTATGGAAAGTACCGAAAAATTATTTCAAGCATGGCAAGAAATAAATTAGTTCCTATAGACCAACTTAAACTGGTTTATTTTAACAATGAACTGAGAAGTAGATAACATTCAGAAAGATAAACATGTACTTTCTCCTAACACCTTGAACTATAAGATAAACGATAATATACATGTAACATTTTGAATCTTACAGTTAGAAACGACAGACAAGGCGACCAATAAACCTAAACATTAAGTACATTTAGTATAATTATCAATTCATTAGTTCACCTTCCCAATCCGTTCTGTCTCAAACTTGTTGTCATTCGACTGTTTATGTCCTATTCGGAGTAAACCACACCATATACCATTGAGTTATATAATATAAATCGAATGTGTATACTTTTAAAATTATTTTCATCAGTTCACGCAACACCATTTTCGTTTGTGTTAACTGAAAATTATTTTTTTTTTCATTGATTATACGACCTTGTCATTTATCAGCATAATGTTTTCAAGCGTGTTGAGTGTCACTGAACGACTCCTACTCGCTGGAATCGAACCTAGGACCTTTGGTCTCGCGGATTACTGAAGAGTCCCATACCAATACGAAACGGCCATCCAGGCTTCTACTGGTAATGTGGTGCGCGCTACTTATAAGTAGTATATGACGTGAGTGTAAACGTAATGTCTGGCAGCAGAAGATGGGGGAAGATCAAGAAAGGAAGAGTGGGAACACAATGGAATTTGTATGAAACGCATGAATAGTGAGTGAAATGTCAGACAATGGATTGAAGATTTGCAAATTAACGATTTACGATATGGTTTTCCTATTTTACTGAGTAACTCTGTAATTTTCGTTAAATACAATTCGGTTGCCCTCACCTGTGTTCTCCTTCACTACAGTAGTATAAAAATGATCGATTGATGATTTCAATTTGAAACAACAATCTCTATAACTCTCTACACTGAAAAACCATAAAATGTACTCACTAGTCACTAGCTTCGTGAAGAATATTCTCGGAGTTCTAGTAAGGAGCCATGACTAGTGGAGTTCAATGCTGTCAAGTTTAGGCAATAACTATCGAAGACAACAAATGGGTGAGGTCACGTAAAATCGCTAGACTGATCAGAGTTAGACATTAGACATCACCATTGGTTGCTGGCTCAGAGATCTAGAGGTTAGGCGTTCGCGAGCAAGATTGAAGCTCACAAGTTTAAATCCTGTAGCTGGTAGGAAGAGTTCTGGATGCGCATCGTCACTGATGAGCAGTCCCATACCCCGAGACGAAATGGCCGTCCAGTGCTAACAATAATCAATTCATGATTTCAACGTAAAAACAACAATCTCCATAATTTTTACAATGAATAAATGTAGAATCAATCTGGGATATATTTACGAATCAATTAAAAATGGTTATAAATATAATAATGATAAAATAGACAGATGAAATTATCAAGACAAATGCTAGAATAATAGAAATAGTAATAACATCAACAGTTAGTAATAGTAGTAGTAGAAGGTAGAGAGAGAAAGAGAGGTTAGTTATAAACAATATGATTCTCAGAAAAAATCAATTCACAATCTTTCACAATCACTTGACATCCGATTATCATTACAATAATAATAATAATAATAATAATAATAATAATAATAATAATAATAACAGATAAACAACAAGACACATATTTTTTTTAAAAAAAAAGTAGATTTCCAATAGATAAAAAAGCTGTATTTTTAAATGGTATTACATAATCACTGGGAATGATTGAAATTCGAAGGGCGGGGGGAGGGATAAAATAATTTTTGTTTAAAAATATAAAAAAAAACCACCATATGAATAAAGCATAAGGGGAAAAATGTACATTACTTTTGAAGTGGAAGCAATAAAATGATAAAAAGTTGTTGTTGTTGTTGTATTTTCTCTTTTCTACAGCCATAGGTAACATGTTGATTGATTGATATGATTATTCATTGATCAATCAATCGATCAATCAATCAATCAATCGATCAAGTGAAATGATCAATTTTCAATGTTCAATAGATTCAAAGTTCAAGATTCAACGATAACGAAAATAAAAATAATCCACGCACGCACACACACACACATACATACACACCAGAAAAAAATCTCATTGAGGGAAAATAATAAAATGAATGAATAAATGATTGAATTAGGAAAGAATCCAAATCATCATTGCAATGATTGTATGTCTGTCTAATTAATTGATCGATGAATAATTTTGCCATGATTTTGTACGAACATATGATGGTTTTTGTGATAATAATTGTTCATGTTCTTCTGCTTCATGATGATGATGATGAGAATGATAGCTTAGATTGTTAGATCTATAACTATTAGCACGAACAATGTTGTGATGAGTGTTGCTATCCGACTCCGCCATCGCCTCCTCCTCTTCGGCGTCATCATCATCATCATCATCATAATCACTGGAATCAAATGTATCTGTATGATCAAGTGAATATGGTTCAGAGAATTCACTTCGATCTGGTATAATGTCTTCTCCTCCTCTTCCGCCGCCTCTAATTATTACTGAATCTACTGAGTTTGGACAACATGGTAGTAAAGTTATATCTAATACACGATTATGAATTAATGTGCCGATAATGAGTAATGCAAAACCGTCAACTGAAAAAGTAAACAAACAATAGAAGTAAACAATGTGCATGTATGTATGTATGTATATATACATATAGATAGATTGATAGAAAGAGTTCAATGTAAAACATGGTATTAGCACGACATGGATGGATGGATGGATTAAAGAATGACTGCGTTAGCTGTGCACTGATTGGCTAATTCCTATCCAATCATCGCTGGTCGATATTTGAAGTACAACTCTCTCTAGAAGCTTCTCATGTAAAAACTACAGAGATACTGATGTTGTTCCTATTTCACCTTTACTTCGAACTTTTTATTTCCATTTAACCTTGCTATTTGGAATATAATCTGTTTCCTGTTCAACCATGTTCTGATTTGGCGGACTTGTCGAGTGTATTTGTTGTCAGAGAATACTAACTAAGCAATAGGAATAGCTGGGTTTACTAAGAGAGATTATAACACATGGGAATATATAGTACTTTAGAAAATGTATTTTTCTTAAACAATGAGTGTAAAGTTTGTATTCTATGCATATTGATTAGTCTATTCTTCATGTCAATAGGTCAATAACTCAGTCACTCAGTTACAATGTAGAACTTCGTACGTACGTGCATCAGTTCAGATTGCCGAACCATACTAGCACAGAGACGCAATTGTCAGTTCGAATTCCATAGTACTAGAGGTAGGAGAAGTATTAGCAGTAATCGGAGAGTTTAGGGTTCGAAGATATCACCTGACATCCCTATCTAGTACTCCATTTCTAACTATAGCATTGCTTACTCGGTCGTCTCAGCATATACCAGCAATGCTCCGAAGACATCTACAATCGGATACCAATAACTTACGAATGTCTTCTACTCTTATCGGCCATGTTTCGCATCCATATAGTAGGACAGAGTGGTAACATCATACGAACCTCACTACTCTCCACATCACACACACACAACATTACACTACACAATCCATAAACAGACTACCAACACAACACCATCAAAGAAATTACTCATCAACCACAATCACACATCTCACCCACTCACAACTCACCAATCGTCACCATCATTACAACACACCATTCTCACTAAACACTCACACCTCACATGTCGGTCTGTGCGTGTGCGCACTCTTTCACAGAGGCCAACACAACAACACAGATCAACATCAATTTCGCAAGGACATTAGTATTCCATGGGACAACAGCCAGGAATGTGGAGCTCTTGCACAACAATCACCTCAACTAACACACACACCCTAACAACCACCCATACATACATACATACACACACAACCGACGAAAAATCACTTGCCACACCACATCAAACCAATCACCGACACTCAACAACACCCAATAACACACTACATTCACAACAACTCTACACACCTCAAACACGACAATCCAACAACTGAATTGCCAGCTAACAACACACGAAGCAAACATCCACCGACTTTTACACACACACCCACATACACAAACCCAACACCACGTCATTCTCAAAACGCTAACTGCACTCCAAAATTAATAAACCATTAATTTGTTGCCATCATCCATCACTCATCATACACACGCGCATACAAGCTGTGGCAACATCAATCAGCCAGTCAGTCAGGTACTACGTACAACTGCTTACGTATGTACATCAGTTCAAGTTGCCATACTGCATTAGCACAGAGACGCAACTGTCAGTTCAAATCCCATACGAGTAGAGATAATAGAAGCATTAGTGGTAATGGAGAAGATTAGGGAGCGAAGATATTATTCAAAAAGTATAATTCAGTGAGATAACTTTAGAAACAGAAAGATAAAGACGATGAGGAACTCAGAAGATTAGAATTTGAGAGAACATAAAGAATGGATACATTTGTGCCATCACAAACAATATTGAGCCATGTCATTCAGTGTCTCTAACCATCAGTTACCTTCGTACCCCAACCACGTAGCCTACATTTACCAACATGATTCAGTACACTTGTCAGTGACTTCATGCAATTCTTCCATGTATTTGCTTGGCCACCCCTAGATTTCTTCCAATCTATTCCTACTCCACAAGACATAGCTCGTCAAGGCAGTCGGTCGTTGGGAATACGTAACACATGTCTCAACCATCTCAACTGATGAAGTTTCACTACTTCATCAATTGACCTGCCATCTTCAAGAGTACCCGTTTCCTAACAACAACAACAACAACAACAACAACATTGTTTATTCAATAGTCCCAAGATAAACGAGCAATGCTTCGTCAATAGGTAATTACTTCTATGATGAAAAAAAAGTGGAATCACAACGTCGTCATCTTTTTTCCCAAACCATCTACTATTGACAAGAATTGATGGATAAATAAAAAGTAATTATTGTCAATTGACTTATACAAACTCAATATATACAATACAATATACTTCATAACAGTAGTCATAAAAGAAACTTGATCAAATATTTGGCTGACAGAGTCAAAATTATTCGTTCTGATGAACATGTTGAAAAAGCAACGAAAACTTATACATGATTTACTGTATAAGCAGCACAGATACTCATCAAAGTTCCTTAATAAAACTTACGTCTGGAATTTGAAATATGGGGGGGGGAGAATTGGTTTACTTGCCTTTCTCCAATTCACTTCACTACGCTTTGCTTTGTGCTTGTATGCTTCGCATTCTCATGTTTGTCTGTTTGAATGTCTGTCTGCATGAAATAAATTCATCTGCAAAACTGTATTCGGCTTCGTCTTGTTACCACTATCGCATAAACGGAGTTCACCAAAGTATAATATATATTCGGAAATGGAAAGTAAACATTTATTTCATCGCCTTACTTGATCATTCATCCAGAACTACTCTGGAGGTCAAGTCGATGGGCCACTTAGTTTGGTGAACCCTCCTACATTGAATTTTACACGAACTACTGAAATGTCTACTCTAATTGGTTCATAGTTTGTTTTTTTTTTGTAAAGTTGAAAATTAGAAGACATTATACCACCTTCTTAATAATTATGTAATGTACCTTTTAGTTTTTGTTGATACACTATTGATGAATGTTATAAACAGTCAAAATCTGTTTATTACGACTAGCATATATTGTGGTGTGTGCTACTTATACGAACGATATAAGTAGTAGTATAAGAAGGGACATGAAAGAAGGAGTCGCACGGTCAGAAGAGAAAAACGGAAAGCAAATGGAGCAAAAGCAAGAGTCGGTCAGATGCAACGTAGAACTTTGTACATAAGTACATCAGTTCATGTCGCCATACCACATCAGCACAGAGAAGTAATCGTCAATGCAAATCCAATAGTAGAAGAGGTAGTAAGGGAATTAGAAGTAATCGGAGAGGTTAGGATTAGAAGATACTATTCAAGAAGTATGATTCAGTGAGAAAAGTTTAGAGAGTCGAAACTAGAGGGGTTGAAGAACCCAAAAGAATAGAGTTTCATAGAACACAGAGAAGAAATGCACTGGCGCCATTGCGCACGATTTTGAGCAATGTCATTCAGGGTCTGAGACCAGGAATTACGTTTCGTGAACTCGCTTCATTTGCATTAGCGGGGCAGTGAGATAAGGGAATGTGAGTAGAGTTAGTTGTGGAGAGAAAACAGGTATGTGTGTGTAGGAAGGATTTGATTTCGACCACTTCGGGTATGAGGGCGGTTGTCACTTCTCGGCTGCCCAAACCGTGGAAGTCACTTGGAACTCTGAAGGCTAAAGGAAAACAGAACGGACTAGGGACTTCTAGCAAAAGCGAGAAGTAAATGAAGTACCAACAGGAATGGAAGAAGGATGATGGAGTGTTGGAAGTCACGACTCAAAGATGGTGTGCAAATAGACTGTTCAATGTAATGTTTTCGTTTTTAATTGACTAAGAGTGTAAATTTGCATAATACAATCTTCCGCGCCTGCCTCAGTCTTCTCAATATAATGAAAAAAAAAGAAAAAACAATCTAAATATCACTAACTTTCAATAAGACCCCAACCAATACTGAATGGTTCTCCATATGGTGGACCAATGGCATAGTATAAAATTAAACTACAAATCCATACTAATGCAGTACGTAAAGAATCTATCAATGTTCGATGGACAGCTAGAATTTGAACAGGAAAAAAAATATTCACTAGTAGTTAGTAACTATTACAAATAGTTATTGTGTTGAAATGTATATATAATAGGGCGAAGGAGACAGAGGTCAGCTATCTTCCCCCCTGAATCAAAATCCATATGACTTGAAATTAACATTCTTGTAAACATACAATCAATCTGTATAAACACATTCCAAAAAACATGTCGTAGTTAATTCAATTCGATTCGTCGTTATTGACACGGAGAGAGAGAAAGAGAAAAGAGGCTTGCACGTGAAAATGTTCACCAATTTTTATAAGGGATCGGGATACAGAACGTTTATTATTCGATAACTGTCAGTCAGTTGCAACGTAAGAACTTCGTACGTATGTACATAAGTTCATGTTGCCATACCACATCAGCACAGAGACGCAAATGTCAAATCAAATCCCATAGTGATAAAGATAGTAGGGGTATTGATGGTAATGAAGAAGACTATGGTTCGAAGACATTATTCAAGAAGTATAATTCAGTGAGATAAGGTTAAAAAGACAAAAGTATAGGTGTTGACGAATCCAGAAGATTAGGATTTGAGAGAGTTCAAGGAATGGATGCATTTGCACCATTGCAAACGATTCTGAGCTATGTCGTTCAAGGTCTCTAACCATTGGTGACTTTCGTCTCACGGATCAAAACCAGGTAGACGACATCTACCAACATGACTCAGTCTACTTGTCAGTGACTTCATGGATTTGTGGCATGCTTTGGTTTGACCGCCCCCAGACTTCTTCAAACCTACTCCTATACTACAAAACATAGCTCGTCGAGGCAGTCAGTGGTTAGGCATACGTAACACATGTCCCAACCACCTCAACTGATGAAGTTTCACTACTTCATCTATTGATCTGCCATCCTTACCTAGTACTCTTTTCGTAACGACTGCATTGCTTACTCGGTCATCACACGATATTCGAGCAATGCTTCGGAGACATCTATGATCGAAAACTAGTAACCTACGAACATCTTCTACTCTTAACGGCCATGTTTCGCATCCATATATGACATATGCGACATTTATAAGAGATTAATCATACGAAGTAACATCCACCCTCATACCCATAAAAGCAGACAAGACCGAAAATTGGTCACAATCATATCCTTTCCACACCTCCTGATTGTACATTGATGATTGATTGATTGATCGATATCGGTATATGGTGAAATCAAAGTCAGTCAGTCAGTCAGATGCAACGTACAACTTCGTACGTAAGTACATCATTTCAAGTCGCCATACCACATCAGCACAGAGATGTAATTTTCAATTCAAATCCAATAGTAGTAAAGGTATTAGAAGTAATCGGAGAGGTTAGGATTAGAAGATACTATTCAAGAAGTATGATTAAAATGAGAAAAGTTTTTTTTTCGAGAACGTGATTAATATTTTGACTTTTTTT